ACGGTAACAGGTAGAAAATTATTGTTGGTGATACGAATTAGTACAAAATAAGTACTAAATATTCCACCAAGTCCGATATGATTTGTGGTGATTTGGAATTGTGTAGAATTCAAATTGCATCTACATACATAGAGCCATTTCATTGTGTGTTTTACTTAATAAAAACATATACGTACTATCGTAATTTATGTATTTGCAAAGGTTTTTACTTGTGGCGCAAAATTATCGATAAAACATTGTTATTATGTAACAGTTGTAATTATTTGCTATATTAATAATTGTTATTATTCGCTTCAAGGTATCGAAAATGTACCAAGTACTTCGTAAGAAATGGATACATACGATTAGAACGTTATCGAGAAATTAGAAAATACCCTTTTACTTCGCATACCAACAAAAGTGTATCAAGTCTATCATTCGAGCGATACGTTCGATTGTATCGAAACGCTTCCTAAAAGAGAGTAAGCCTATTTTCCCCATGTATCTATAATTAATAACTTTCCTGTAACGAATAAGAGTGTAACGAGTGATTTTAGCTAGTCCGACCTCGTGTAAACATTTTCGTGTAAAGATGTTCAAACTTCTTCTATTACGCCAATATTTACCTATTTGTACGCACGATGTACTAATTACAATTAACAATTTAAAAAGAAATATTATTCTTGCGGTTATTTTATAATTAAAAGAAAATTTCATAGAGGTATTCAATCTGGAGGTGGAATCCTAAAAATGACTTAAACGATGTTTATCAACGATGTTTCCTTGTAGCAGAAAAAAAGAAGAACATAAATATCTAAAGTTCGACGGACACGTTCGACGGTGATAAGCGGCGTGCTAACTTATCGACTCGACTAATCTCTCAAAACATTAAACGACCCTTTAAAATACCTACTTAACGCTTTACCGACTGCTAGCGATTGTACGTATAATTAAATTCAATCACACTTTTCGAATCACAACAATTTCTATTTCTTATTTTTTTATCGATTGAAAAATCACGAACACGTGCTTCTATCTGTACAATATGATTATTTGGTACAAATTGTAGTAACTTGTATAACATGAACGAACTCAATCATATTTCTTATTTGGGCAACGTTAGTATTATTCACCCTCGATTCTATCCGTTAGAATAGTTTTTTTAATTAACATTTACATAATATTTTATAATTCTTATAACGATGGAAGCTTAGCACGTAAATAATAGATAAAGTTATTGGTTGTTCTAGCAAAAAGCCTATTAATAGGCTAACCGTCGGTAAAGTGTTGAGTCGTCTTCAGATAACTCTTCGAAGTTAGGTGGGTTAAAAGCTATCCCACCTTTTGCTTAGCTTTACTATTTTATTTAAAGTTTTTCTTAATCATGCGGCAACACCACGAACTAACGCTAAAAGTACAATAAGCGAAACGAGAAATGTGTACGAGTCAAAACGCGTCAGCAAGTTATCGACACTCTTTTGCTGTGCAGCTTGAATTCTATTTCTCTTTTACAACCGTCCACCTCAAAGAGTTAAACGAAGCATGCTTGTACATGTATCAGGAACATTTTATTAATAATAATAATAATAATAATAACAACAATAATAATAATAAAAAAACAACAACGTTGTTTACATCAATTTTTGATTCATCATCAATCGCTTCCGATTCCGCGAAGTTTACCAGTTTGGTATCAGAGAGATAAACGCCGCGAGTGTTTACGAATTCTCATTTTATTTCCGTACTCGGAAAATGAAAAAAAAAAAGCATGCAAAATAGTACCGACGCAAAAACCATGAAAATAAGATCGCGACGGCGATTAAAATTAACAGAACAGTTTGACTCGATACAATTTATTCGAGATGCAGAGACGAACGTGTAACTTGAATCAAGCAACATGCGCTGAACACCATAAACTATCTCAAAGACAATAATCTCTACAATAGTAATGGGCTGTCTGGAAAGTCCATGTCGATTTTTAGTAAGATTTTTAATATATCATTTTATATTGTACCGTTTACCAAAATATAAAATAATAATATTTAGATATTAATATTTAAATATTATTATTTTATATTTTGGTAAACGGTACAATATAAAATGATATACTAAAAATAATAGCGGTCTGAATATATTGGAATGGCTGAAAACAAATAGCATGTGTACATTCTTTAACAGGTGGAAAGACTGCGAAACAAAATTCAAATATGCCTTTGAATTTTTCTTAAAAATAGGCATGAACTTTCCGGACAACCCGATATATGTATACTTTCACTAACTAAATAGAAACGATGGAATAACTAAATAGATAGAAACTAAATAGAATAGGCATGAACTTCCCGGACATCCCAATACATACTTTTACTAACTAAATAGAAACTAAATAAAAAATAAAAGCATTAAACATAAAGAATGAAAACTCATTGACGCAAACGATCATTTTTACCATTTTACCACAGTTGTAAATAATAAAGAAATGTATAAATCACGATAGGTTTCAAATTGATGTACATTGGATTATTTACTTAGAACTTGATAGAATTAATTCAAAATTAATTGGATTAATAAATTAGAATTAATTTACTTGGAATTAATTTACTTGGGATTAATTTGTGAATACCTCGACCGAACAAGTAGCGATTAATTAACCACCGGATCGCGAGCAGCGCGGAAAACCAACTTGATTTGCAAAAGTAATTGTCGCTGCGTTCACAATGGACGCTTTTTTAACTTGGCCCATTGTTTATCGTATGATATAACGGAGGCAACGTTCTCAACAGCTGTACACGTACATAGCCGAGAAAGGTACACGTGGTTCGAATAATTAACCTTCTAAAGTGACACAAAAGAATTAAATCGGTATTGTAATAAAACGTAACTCGGATCATTGTCGTTTCGTCGAAGAGCAAAGATAGAATTGACCAAATTCGAGAAACGCAAAACCATAACTGTGATATGTACACAGCATTCGCAATATATTATTTGAAAATTCGTAAAATCCCGATAGGTTCCCTGAAAGTACGAAATATTATGCGATCGTTGCTTTTACTTGAGAAACAATGTCGTAACTGTAGTATGTGTCCGATAAGATTCTGAAGTATGTAAACATAGAGAAATTCCGAAAATCCTGGTTTGTAAAAAGATTTGTAAACAAAAAAAAAAAAAGATGAATAATTTCCTTCGGAACATTTATTCGCTCGTATAAGCAGAAACAAAAGTAAGAATAGATATTAATTACGAGACAATTTCTTTAGAAATCCTCGTTAGATGTTCCCCCGAGATAAGAGATTCCTTCCGACAGATAGATCCTTTAAAAACCCCGCGAGTATATCGCGCTACGAATAATAAAAATAATAATACAACCAGTAATTTGGTGGTACGTGGCAGCTCAGATAAGAAAAGAATTAAGGAAGCGAGAGAGAAAATATCGTTACCTCGATCGACGAGTTGTCCGATAAATCGTCCAATGCTGCGTAATATCAGTGGTGAAGATCGGGCAGCGAGTACAAGTGAACCGCCTCGGTGGTCATCGGGCAGAAATCCGCGCCCTAAATCGTCGTAACTCCAGCCTGGCATCCACAGGTATCTTCGAGACACCGACCACGCGCACGTGTATCGTTTCTTCCGCCTCTTCTTCTTCTATCTCTCTTTCTCTCTCTCTCTCTCTCCCTCTCCTTCTCTTGGCACCTACTTATATGTACTTATTTATACATTTTGTTCACCCCAATATCCTGCGCCTTAGCACACAAGTAGATCCGCGACGAATCGTTATCGAGGATTCGATGTATTCACAGGAATCTCGTTTGTCCCGGCGTTATCCGCGTAAAGAAAGTTCGTACGTATCAAAATATCCATGCATGCACGGGCATATGTCACATAAAGCCTATCTACGCGGCAATGTGTATCACAGTCGGCACTACTCGGTATCACCTATCTCTCTTTCTCTCGGCGTCTTATCGAAAACGAATACAACAGAGTTAACAGAGTGAACAGAGTTAACGGAGTCGCCAGGGGGCAGCAGACGAACTCGAGGAAGACACGGGAACACGAAACGGATCTCCATTCGCCTCGGACACGGATTCGATGAGCCTCGCCGATCCTTTAAAAGCCACGGGGTACACCGGAACGAACTAACCCATTCAGCCTCGAAGCTGGCAAGCAACTGAACACCGAACCGCGAGCCGCGATCGCCGTTGAAAGCCTGCCGCCACCCCGCACTCTCCGCTCCTCCTCTTCGACAACGCTGGAGATTCGCGACGACGCGCATGCGCGGCTCGCAGCGCCGTATTACGCGTTCAACGAACGAAGACAAATGGACTACCGAAACGCACGAATCCGCGAGTCGAAAGAGGATAGAGAGATAGCCGGTTATACGGCCCGAACGGAAATAATCGAAGCGTTGTAATCGAGTGGGAACTGCCACGGTTGATGGTGGGGGTTTTACCGACTTCCTCGTAGCTTCCTCGTAATCGCGATCTCGACTGTCGACGCGGACCTGCTTCCCTGCAAGCTCGAATATCTCTTCGAGATCGAACTGTTTTTTCCACCCAACGGAATTCTGGTTACTCGATTAGTCACTGTAATCGATGCAGATGTTTATTGCGTTTGGATTAGAGCTTCATTATAATTGGCTATATTAGGCTATATTGGCTATATTAGAATTATATTAATTCTGTGGCTTTCTGAGATACATTCAGTATTTGGTCGTAATAGAAAATCATGCAGGTTCTAATCTTCCCTCAGACGTATATTTTTAAATAGCATATAGGCGTAGTTGTAAAAACAAAATGTTGGAACCAATCTGTGTGTACGAAGGTACTACTTATTACTGCGAAGCACCTTAACGTAATAAAACGGCTAGGAAATACTTTTATTTAAATTGAAGTCATAAATTAATTCTGTGCCTTTATAAAGTACACTTATCGTTAATTTTATTATAAATAAATAAAAGTGCGAAATTTTTATTGCTCGAATCTTAGTCGTTCGGCACAGTTTGCGCAATAATGTAGTAACATCGTAAATGTTTGAAGATCATAAGTGAAGATTTGAGGAAATAAAAATTCCATAAAACCATTGTCATTAATTAACCGGTCTTTACCAAATTTGGGGTAATTATACAGTAGGTACATCTTAATCTCTCAGACTTCAACCAGGGCGGGCTTTATGTCAATTGAACCAATTGCTCCCAATTTGGCTCCGCACCCAGAGGGACAATTCTAATAAATCATTTAAATAAAACAGACTTTGGCTGTGAACCCGACGGTCCCGTCAAAAATACTCCAAATTATATCACGTAACTTCTACGATTGATCCCGTCTACAGCTAGGATGGTACACCTCACCTTTTTCTAAATTCAACAAATAATTGTTTTTCTGTAAAATTGTTGTACGCCTCTGTCTAACGTGCCATCATTTGACAAGTTTTGGATACTTTCTTGCTTTTAATCCTGGCTATAGTCATATATGTATATCCAATCGCCAGACTTAAAAATTGGCGACATCAGCAATCCCTCCTTCGTTTTTCCAAGTTCTTTGATATGTCTTCGTAAAAAAGATCCGCGTCTAATGGAATTGTGTATAAATAACCGTGTACAATTTCGATAAGGTTCTAATAGTTTTTCATTAATGTATCTATAAAGAAATGACATAAAATCTTATCTTAATGTTCCAGTCTATGAGACTATACGAAGGAATAAGCATAAGTGCTAAGCACTTGTTCCATAAGTGTTAAGCATGTGTTGTAACAATTATTTATTAAAAAAAAATAATAAATAAAGATTTTAGGATTCATAAGATTCGTTTCTTTAATTTCATTAAAAATTTTAATTATAATTGATTCATATTGATGTAATAAATTGGATTAAATTTGATACGAAATACTTTGATTAAATATCAAGGATAATCTATCCTTCGATTTTTCAGTGGAAGATCTCCTTGAATGGAAAACTAGATGCCTATAATTAAGTATTTAAAATACAAATGTTTGAGCACCAAGTTTTATTAAAATGGTAATTTAAAGAAGCATCTACTCACTTTTAACAGAAAACCCTTCCGTAATACAACCGCAGAGGAATACATCATGCCAGTGCCTATTGAATCCTCAGAGTAAGTGAAAGTAGTCCAATCAAATAATATTGATAAGCTGATAAGAGATAACGAGTTGATACGACGATAACCTCTAAAAATTAATCTCTTTCTCCCGTTTGTTCATACGTCGTTTGAATTATTTTTCAACATTCCATTCCGAGGTATCCTTCGACGAAAGACAGGTGAGATTAGCAGCAGTAATTTCAAAATTTCTGTATCTTCTTGATGTAGACAGGAATAGCGTCTTTTATCCCCGTGGTACACTTCATTATTTAATTTTAATCCAATCGAACATTCCTAGATGTTCAATCATAGATGTTTTATTCTCTTACTTAAATATTTAAATATATAATACATTAACCTTTATAACTTTTCAATCTTTACCAATAAATTATACAAATTATTATCATTAAATCTGAAACCTTCGAACATAAGATCATACCTCAAAATTGCATTTTTTTATTTATTTCTACCGTCCTCTGTGTTTTTTTTTTGTTTTCATTTTCATCTACTATCTCCATTACCTCTTTCGTCTAAAATTGTTTCTACTTCCATTTTCAGTATTATTTCACCTTTCTTTTTACATATTCTCCATATCTTTTGTTTCTTTTACTCGGTATTTTTTACCATGTCAGTCATTATTATTATTATTCATTTCTCTTCGTTTCCATGTCCGAATCTGAAGATCGGTCTTCTTTTTTAACCTATCTATTTCCGATTTATATAAACACTATTCAGATATTTGGATACTTTAGGCGTTATTCGTGTACAGTCACCTTGGTTCCGTATTTCTTTATCTTTGTTGCACATTGTTTTCGTTATTTCAACGCCAGGTGATTATAGTTACCATGTCTTCTTTTCGTGATTTATTTCATGAATCGGAAATCTATTTCTTGATCAATGTAAACGGTAGAAATTGTCCTAATCGTAATTTTCTCGTACGAATTTCTTCACACGAGTGGTATACTACACATACCGTTTCTCGACGATAAATTCGAGTTTCCTCGATGCGTTAGAATCCGTGTGGATATAGCTCGGCACTTAACGAACAGGTGCATAGGTACCGCGTTTCTCTCCTTTTTTCGGTTTTCTTCAGCAAGAATCGGCAGGCGAGCTTGAAGGACCCCTCCGAGAACCAATGCAGGTAGCCCACGTTTCTGGACGCCCACAAACCAGTTTTACCTGTTATATCCTGGTTGGCTTATGAGTACCACCGATACTTATGCCTGATCTTTTCCCTCTGCCTTTTCATTTCCTTTCAGCAGAATCTATCCTAAGAAAGTAAAGAAAAAAAAAAAAAAAAGAAAGGTGAACGTCGTTAATCAAATCAGTCAAGTTGTCGTGAAACGAGAATATTCTTTACGCGTACTATCCCGCGTGGTTGTCCGTTTCTTGTAAAAAACACCCAGAACCGTTATTATTTCAATTTCATTAACGAACGTTGCGATTGTTGACAACGTGTGTATATTCAGACGATAACATTAATCGACTTGAATATATTAATTTTGCTGTAACACAGTATTACGACACGTATTAGGTTGTCCCGAAAGTTTCTTTCGCGAGCTGCACTCGATTATTTTATATGGTCGTGTTTATTATAAACAGACGTTCTAGTTTCATAGATATTCATGTTGTAACAGTAACGGAGCAAAATGAATCGTGCACAATTCAGTAATGTAACATAAAACATAAAATATCGTGCGTGTATTACTTATTAAGAAAGCGAACGAAACTTTTCGGACGACCTAATACATGTATTACTGACAAAAGTTTTAACGAATTAAACGAAGCGACGATTTATCTAAAATCTTTAGCGAACGAAAATAATTTGGTTCTTCCTATATATTTTAGTGTATCGTTAAATGCAGAAATGATGGAATAAGCGTAAGTGTGACAATTATTTATAACAAAAACAAAAAAAAATAAGGAATTCAGAATTCATAGAATACGTTCCTTTAATTTCATTAAGAATTGTAATTATAACAAATAAATAAGATAAATAAAAAGGAGAAGGATTGGATAATATTGCCTTTTCTTTATTTTGTACTCCGTTATATGGATGCAGTCGTTCATAAACAAATTGTATTCGTTTTATTTCGTTTTGTCTGAAGTATTAAATAGAATGAAATGTTAATTACTTGTTTCGTCGCGTGAAAAATTATCTTATCCGAACACTTTTGTCCCTCAAGTACAATAGTTTCAGAAATAGAAGTTTTGTGTAACGCGAGTTCTACTTATTTACTCTTCTATTAACCGACTTCGAAAAGGAGGAGATTACTCAATTCGACGTGTATATTCTTTTTTTTTTTATAGTCCATCGATCTTGGACAAGGAGACATCGATTTCGTTTAAACACTTGCTATTTTACTGGAGAAAATGGAAGTGCAAGTGCACTTAAAGTGCATTTAAATGACAAATCTACGAAGAAAATGCAAATTTAAATGACAAATGTACGAAGAAAATGCAAGTTTAAACGACAAATCTGCGACTATAGCATTCAAAGGTTTCTCCCAAGAGATACATGTTATGTCGGTAGTTCTTGTAGGACAGGGTCCTCGGGTATTCGAATACAAGATTTAATAGGTCCCTCAGGAGAGTAGAAAGAGTCCGGTAACTTTTAAGAAGGATCCCTTCTTCGATTGATCGGAGGTAAACGCAAGGGAGGATTCGAGCTTCCATTGTATAATGGATCATCGTTCTTTCGAGAAAAAGAGATTTCGACCTTGCGTCCTGGCACATACCTACCTAACACGTGATTAATGTTAATCGCTTCTTCGGAAACCTTTTTCGGCGTTCGCCAGCCTCGGGAAAATCTGGATAGACCAGTCACATTGGCTTTAACTCTGCGTCATATTAAAAGGAATCGTTCTTGGCTCAGAATTACTTGTCATCGAATAGAATGTTTAACCCTTCGCTGCACAATTTTTTCGAATGGTAAGGAAACACGTTCGAAACCGTCATTCTATCTGGTTCGTTCATAAATAACTTCCGCTGCAGGTAATAAATAATCACGCTTTTGTTAGGATTACGAGGAACCATTTTAATATAAACACCAGATTGCATATACAGGTTAGGGCATTTTAAAAAGAATAACTCGCTTGGTTTTGAAG